GAGGATTTATTTCGGAGCCTTCAAAATACCTGTAGGGTACAAAAATGCCCGTAGGGATTAGACTTGGAGGAAATCTTAATTTATTGTCTGTGTTTCGTGCCTTTGGAGTTGTAAGGAGAGGTCATCAATGGAAAGAATAATAATAAACCATATATGTTTAAAAAATACCTATTTTCAAATACTAGTTATGGTTGCAGATTGTCAGCAGTGTTCGTTATTACCATGACACTTACCAAAAGTCAAACTTTCTAAAACATGAGTACTGACATACGTATCTGCTGTGATAGTAGTTTAACGTTATTGGTATAGAATAGCAGGTATTTTTTTTACTTTAGGTATTTGCTTTGACCAAAAAATATAAAGAGAACAAAACTTCCGAATATTTACATTATGCACAGTGTAATTTGAAATTATGTGGTGTCTCATACTGTTACTGCTTGAATAAATACTTATTTTCAATATAAGTTTTCTGTTGTGCTTTGTATTTTGGGCTTTGTATTTTGGGCTTGCTTAAATGCATAGTGGTTGTTTAAAGTCAGAGTTTAGTGCATTTTCTAAAACTTTGTATGACAGAGGTTCTTTTGAGTTAAAGCTGCTCACAGGCAACATCATTGTAAGGTCTTCCTCAATATGTAACGAAATTAATTTTACTGTAAGTTAGGAGTTTTGCCTTTTTGATATTGTTGAGTGCTCAATGAACAATTTCAGAAAATTATTTTCAGTTGTACCTGAGATTTTTTTTTTATAACTAGAAGTGGTCTCTGCATATACAGCGTTGTAAAATAAATGAAAGCAATGCTGTAAAGGCAGTCTGATTTTAAGTCTGTAATGGTTTTTATGCTTTCTGTCATAAAACATCCATCTGCTAAATTGTAATGGATTCTTTGTTTCCTTCTGAAAAACAACCACTTTTTATGTATTTCGTCTTCTCCCTTAAACATCCCACTTCTCACTTAAAGAGAGGAGAGGTTTCTAACAAGTGTCATCTGTTGCAGCACCTTCCTGTTCCTGCAGCCGAAAGAGGGCACATTATGTCTGCGTGTTAGCGCTGTACTGCGTGGTGTTTGCGTTGCGGTAGGACTGAGGGGTGGCAAGTAAGCATCTCGTATCGGCTCCAAGTGAGGTGTTAGAGGAGGACTGGAGATCAGCCAGGCCGCGCTGAACGAACGTGTAGGACCTCTTTCCTGTTTTCGTTGTACATCCATTGCGGTCACAACTTGGGCAATGACAAAATTATTTTTGAAAATGAGACACTTTCAGCTAAAGGATTAACAGCTCTCATGGGGTGAACTTGTGATGGAATAGCTAGTAGAGTGGGATACTTTGCACATCTCGCTAATAATACATCTAAAACATGGCTGAGAGTGAAGGAAATTAAACATGCAATGTTGTTTTCTTAGGCTAATTTAACTGGTTGCATAACTCTGCTAGAACTAGCTAGACAAGTTGTAGGTGTAAATATTTTGATGTGCTTTTAATGTCCTCTGGAGGAGACAGGACTTTTTTTCAAGGTACTTTTCATTAGCATTATGTGAGATTAATGTAAAGTGGTTTTAGAAGTGATGCTGTTTTTATTGCAATTGAAGTAGTTAACCATGTGTGTTAACTTGTGCTCTAAGGTAACTTGTGCTCTTGTAAGTAGACAAATGGCATCAATAATGCACAACAGATCTGAATTTTTAACAACAAAGCCATATTTTTTCTTCAGTTCTAATAGTAGGGATCTCTGCTTTTAAAGCATGCTTTATTGGCATGAATTTTCTTTGATGGCAAAACACATGCAGATATACAATACAATGATAGGCGTGACATCCTTAGGTGACCAAGTATCTATTAAAAGTTTAGTTATTGCAAGTAATCAGGAGCTACAGCATCAGGTGCGGTTCTCTACTTGCAAAGTAGTCATGTTTTGAGAGGTGATGGTAGCAGCCTGCCAGCATTGCATTCTGCTTTCAGCTGCATGAGTTGAAACTCCTAATTATGTTCCTGTTTGATGCAGCATCCAATGGGCGGTTTGTTAAGCACTTGGCAATGCTGCTTTTTTTTCTAGTACATTGCAGCTCTCTCAATTACTGTTTTTCTGAGCGCTTCTTTGTTAGGAAGGAAACACATCTTCTCCCCACCTGTTTTTTTTAACATCCTTTTAAGAGCAATAAGCAGCAACTATGCTATTTCCTGTTAATCATAATACTAATACTGAAAAAGTAACTAACGTAAACACCCCTCATATATTGAGATATGTGATTCATTTCAGTTTTAAAGGTGACATTTTGGGAGAGAGGTTGTACTCTGCAACAGAGGGAAGTCTCATAAGGCTGGGGAGGAATCCTCAGAGATGCTTAAATAGGTAGTTTCTTCCTTGACTGTTGCTGTATTTTGGGAGGCATTGCTGTAAAAAGTAGAAGCATTTTTCTCTATATCCTTTCCATCTCTTTCCAAATAGAGCATGCCACCAGTGATTTTTGCCAAGAACATTTTGCTGAATGTACAGAATGGTCAGCCAGCAGTTTCTGTGCTATGCTGTGGGGAAGAGGGATGCGGCAGTACTCCTGTGTAGCTTGCTGGAAATCTTGCATGTTTTCCTAAATTGGTCACCTATTGCTACTCTTGATGGATCTTAGAAGATTATGACTGCCAAGTAATAGCAAATCCTACAAACTTACTCATTTGAAAATTGTCCATTATTCTATCCACTTTTATTTCAATTCTGCCAGGCTGGACGAACACTGCACAGCTATGGAGAATGAACCAAACACAACAACATGTTCTGCATCTACAACTACTATCACTACCACCTCCACTTCCCGGACACAGCTGCCGCAGATATCTGTCTACAGTGGCTCTGACAGGCATGCCGTCCAGGTACTGGGCTATGAGAGATTCTTTCCTGTGCTGTACAGTGCTCTCAAATACAGGCATTGCACAATACTTTACACGAGATTAACTTTCCATTCTTAATTGCTGTCTTCTTTCTCAATATCTGACTTACTGGTTTTCAGAAGATATTGTTTATCAAAGGGTATCGGATCACTTCAGAATAGTGCAGGGTACAGGCTTGCCTCCCAAATAAGGGAGGGGGAAATGCTATGCTAGAAAGCTTAGTTTTTTCACCATTCCCTAAGGGTATGGATTATTAACATAAGCCTTTACAAAATAATGCAAAATAAAGCTGTTCGTTTGACCAGCATTGACTACAGGGATCCAGAGGCATCTCTGTGTGTGTAACTGCTGCTTTGGATCCAGCCCCCTCTTGCTGATCCTTAAATTAGGTCTCCTCTGTATGGTCCATTCTGTTGGGTTTGATAATTGAGTCTCTCTTACGCTATCCTGATCTTTCAAAAAGCAGAACATTAATGTAGGACTTGTTGACAAGAACCTAAGAGACTTGGATGTTGCGTTATGAACGATGCTGTATTGTCAGCTGATTGTCAGGCTTTCCTTGAAAACATGGATATATTTATGTTGACTGTATTCTGTGACTTGGTTGAAAACAGTGATGGAGCAAGTTCAGTATTACATAATTGGTGTGAAAAGAATTTATTTGGTTTTATTTCCTTGTAAAGGTAAACTTCAGCATCATGTCAGCATGGTGTGTACTTTGTAATTGTAATTAATTACCTACTGATTCATCACAGGTTATTCAGCAGGCCTTGCATCGTCCTCCTAGCTCAGCTGCTCAGTACCTCCAGCAGATGTATGCAGCCCAACAGCAGCATCTAATGCTGCAGACTGCTGCTTTGCAGCAGCAGCACTTAAGCAGTACCCAATTTCAGAGTCTGGCAACTGTACCACAGGTGAGAGCGAAGATTGCTGAAAAAGAATGGTGTACTACTTTCTAGAGTAGGACTACAATTCTAGAGCATTGTCAAACATAATAACAGCTTAAGTGCCTGAGCTTAATGCCTCACAATAATTCACTGTTACATTTTAATGACTTTGTTATTTTAAATTGTATCTTCCTCCAAACTATTTGGAGGATTTTGTCCAGTGTTATAGATGCTCCAGTAGGCGACCATTCCATGCTTTATTGCATACATTATAATGCATCATGTAAATCATCAAACAGTAATAAAATAAATATTAAAAATAGACTAGTTCAATCTTCATCCTGTGATTTTCTCTAAAAGTTGATGGGGAAAGCAATGAATAGCAATGTATCTTAGTGAAATCAAATAGAAATAATGAACATCTGATATCTTAGTGTGTTTTGCCACACATCTGGCTGCATTATAAGTAATGGCAAAATTCAGTTTTAACCCTGAGTGTGGAAATGTAGGAAGTAAATGACATTTCATTTCTGAAGCACAGCTTTTAACATTAGTGAACACTGGAGGAGACCCGTTTTAAAAACTCAAGCAGTAGAAAGATTTCCTTTCACCTCAGTTGACCTTGGATTGAGAATACTATCTTGCAGAGATGGTTGTTAATGATTTTACACATGGAAATGCTAAAACGGAGTTAAAGACTTCAGGGATATAGCTGTTTGTGGTCAGAACTGGGACTGACTCTTCTATGCTCCTGGCTTTTTCTTCTATACCTTTTCCATTAGATTGTGGTAATATATTGATTTGTCATCTTTTTGTGACGGATTTGTGTGTGCATGTACAGTTACCGAGACAGAGCAAAGAAAATCAGATTGGGGAGGGCTAAGAAGTTTTGGTATGCAGTCTGTTAATACAGAAATCTAAATCACTGTCCCTGTATTCATCTGAAGGGCTGGAATAGCATACTGTTATAGATACTATAGACACAGATGTGCATACATAAATTATCATTCTAGAATATGAGGGTGTTCTTTTATTTTTAGAGGATTCTAATCATAATAAAAATTATGATGTGAGTTTTAATAATGACGGTTTTTAATGATGTCACATTTTAAGTTCTGAGCACCATAGGTAGTGAGCTGATCAGTTAGCTCCATCATTAACAGTTTGATAGACTTTAACTCTGATAGTTTTTCTTCAAGTCTTGATGTACAAGAATCTGAGTGCCTGAAATTGGGTAGGAATTCAAGGCATTTAGCACATTGCAGTTGGCATTCCATAGTGCAGAGTGCACTTTGCTGAAAACTAATTCCACTGGGTAAAGCATTTTTACTGTTAACTCAGAGAAAAGGTAATGGTTAGAGAGGGATGTTTCTGGTGGTTTATGCAATAATATGAACATCACTTAAACACTTTTTGATTTCAATATTTGACACATATTCTTGCTATTTAGGCAAGCCTGTCAGGTGGGAGGCAATGTACTTCCCCCACTGGGAGTGTCACTCAGCAGTCAAGCATGTCGCAGACCTCGGTACGTAACGAACAAAGCCCTCCATCCATTATCAACCTCTCTTGGTTATTATATAACTACTTGGAAAAACAGAAAAGATTTTAGTATTTAAATTTGTGTGGTTAAAATTAATATTGCAGAAACAGTAAGTAGAAGTATGACAACTGTGTAGTAAGTGTTGGCTGCGCTTCCAGCATCCACCTGATGCATGCTGCCAGCCGCTATCGTTGCTCGCCAGTGTTGGAGGCTTCCCCGGTTCCAGCCCACTCTTGGTGCTCTGAGGGGCAGCTGCTCACTCCACAAGCACTAATGACTGTTCAGACCACTGCAGGAGTCACTCCCTGAGCTTTCATCTCTTACATGATTTCTTACTGGATTTTTCACATTAGTTTCTTTATTCAGGGTACTATTGTAGGTTAAAATCATAACTGCGTATCAGTGATTAAAGAGCACCAAATTTAAAGAATCCAAGTCAACGCTCACATATATATATATATATGAAACTGATTAAATGTTTATAGCATTCATTCTTTTATTGATTATCATCTTTTATCATGCATCTTCTATGCACTTTCAATTACTTTATCCATATTCTAGGCATGTGCTCAGGTTTCAGTTATTAGCAGTTCTGTGTTCAGTTCATGCTGTATTTCTTTAAGCGGCATCTTCAGACATGTGATTTGCTCAGTCTCTTATGTACAGTTCTACAGTTGTCTTGAGTAGGACTTTGTTAGTCCTACAGACATCCTGCTTATTAATCATGCCCGCGAGCTGTTCGTGACTTCAGTGCATAGCTTCAGTGATTTAACTGTATTTTTTTTTTTAAGCTCTCATAGCATTGCTTTGGCTTATAGTTGTTAAAAGTAAAATCATTCATTCATTAAATTTAGGAGGGGAAGTCTTTAAAGATGTTAAATTAACATAATAATTGGGCTGGGATTTTTCAAGGAAATCTTTTTGAGTAAGTGACGAAAAAGAGCTGGGCACTTAACTCTGTTAGACCGGTTAGGGGAAAAAAAAAGGAAAAAAACCCAAACCAAAAACACAACAGCTTTTGTTTGAGAAGATGCTAAAGAGCAATTGTTCAGGAGCATTTAATATGAAATTTTGTAAAGTTTTAGTTTCCAGTCATTTTAAAATGTGCATATGTAGAATGAGGAATCAAAGTCCCTCTATGGCAGCACAAAGAAGTGTCCTGATCAGGTTGCATAACAAGCATAACAGAAGATATCAGTCCAGTCAGATAACATAATAAATTAAATATAAATTTAAAGATGCTTAAATATTAAAATTCAGGTGTTTTTCTTAACATATTGCAAGCTCATGCTACATATTCTGTAAATGTATATTTCTATGAGGTATATTTTTCAGACTTCATAATATCATTGTTTATACTCGTAACTGATTCTTATTATTTACTGCTACATGGTTGCTTGCAGTTTAAGAATAAAAATGTAAAATCTTGCCAGAATCCAGTTTTGTGATGATTGGCTCAATATATTTTTGATATCTTTACAGTTCAAAGATTTCAACTGCCCCTGCCATTTTTGTCAAAGGCTTTCTGGCTTTAGACCCTAGGATGAATGAATTTCCATGACAGAAGCAATATTTTTGTTTCCTTAGATTAACCTCTCCACCTCTCCTACACCTGCACAGATAATAAGCCGTTCACAGACCTCCAACACCACCAGCAGCAGTATTACCCAACAGACTATGTTGCTGGGGAGCACCTCTCCAACCCTGAGTGCAAGCCAGGCTCAAATGTATCTACGAGCTCAAATGGTAAGTTTTGATTACAATTCTTAAGCTTGGTTTTGGTCCGTCCCTGTTGTCTCCACACCCACCCCCACCACCACCCCCAAAAAAAGCCCCACCTTAACCGTTTCAGTTTTTATTTTGTTTCTATAAATTATTTATAAATATTTTTCTTTAGTTTCAGATAGCATTGAGAATTTAGTCACTACTTTGTGAATACATATCTTCTGAAACACTGTAGACATCAGAAGTAAAAGAATTGCTGTAGCTTAGTTCTGGTGAAGTTTGCTCAAGTGTTTTTAGCCTGGTCGTACTACACGTATTAAATTGATCAAACACGGGAAAAATGGAAAAAGAGCACCTGTCTTTTCTGGCTACATAGAAGGAAATATTGGAGTCTGTCTATATTCAAGGTAGATTGTTTTCTAATGCACTGGTAACATTCAGAGTTCTGACTCTTGATTAAAATTTTCTTCTCTTTAACTAAGATTGTTCTTTGCATTATTGTATCTAGAATTCCAGTTAGATATACAGTTTCATTTTCTTTGGAATCAGTGAAACTCATTATATTCTTGCAATTTCCTGTCAATATGGCATTTCCATTTCCTAATGGGCAACTTTGAAAAATCTGTTTAGTGTTTTGGTTTTTTGGTTGTTTTTTTTTTTAAATTTAATACTTTCTCAAGTGAGTTTCGCATGAATTGAACCTTACAATCTGTGTGGGATTTCATAGAAATTACTGGAGTGGTACATGAATGCTCAGGTACCAATCAGCACTTGGTAAAGACCAAAGACACTATTATGGCTTGTGTGAGTTGATGACCAGAGCTTTCTAGAGTGTTATGTTCAACTATATGAAACAGGAAGAGTCACTGTTATGCTACACTGAGATTCAGAGCCAGAGGTCCGTGACTGCAGTGGTATATGAAATTAGATGCAGGCATGAGTTCTTGCAGGAATTGCACCCATAAAGTATATTTGGGAAAAGTGATCCTTTGTTTCTTTTTCTGAGATTTTTCTTAGGCACGCACAGCAATGCTGTTATGCTATGTCGAGTTTGTTCTTTGGCTATTTTCATACATGTGTATTGAAAAAGTAGTACAACTTGAAGATAAGGATTTAAAGATCAAACACCTGTTTATCCATTTGTCAGTGAAAGGATTTCTTGAGTCTCTGGTTTGTAAGAAAAGCTAGGTGCTGAATGCACCCAGTACTATTTAACAGAACAGGAATTACAAATTCAGTTCATGTCAGTGCCTTTCAATATCTGTTAACAACTTAGTAGATGAAGCAGTATGAGGATGACTACATTTTTGTAGTAGCAATCTCTCAATGCCATGGATTATTGATAGAGTTTTCCTATTCATTTACACTAAATTTTCATGCAGACTTTCAATGTCAAATCCCATGCTTATTTGCATAATTGCTTTACACACCAGTTTCAAGAGAGAAACTTACCCTATTAGTTTCTGTTTAGAAAATGCTTGTATGAAAGATGATGTATATGAACAAATATTTTACATTGTTATATTTATTTTATATTATCATCTTTTAGTTTTATTTACTTAAACTACCATGATAAATTGTTCTTTGAGTAAGTTCATCTAAAAGTAAAAAAGTAAATCTTACATGTAGTGATGTACAGCTTCTAAGTTACATGTCTCTCTTTAAAATAGTGCATTTCTTTCACATATTTTCAAAGTTTCAGTCTGTTATCAGATTTTTTTTTTTTTTTGCTTAACAGCTTATTTTTACTCCCGCGACCACTGTGGCTGCTGTCCAGTCTGACATTCCTGTTGTCTCATCATCTTCCTCATCTTCCTGTCAGTCTGCAGCTACTCAGGTGAGTTTGCGTAAATTTATTAAAGGTATGTCCAGTAGAGTGGGCCAAAACTGAAAAGTAAGGAAACATTGTGCTTAAGTTTACTTGCTTATGAAAACTACTAATGGATACTGGTTATGTACAACTTCAGTGTCTTCCGTTTGCCATGATCACACATTTAGAGGTGATTATGTTATATGTAAAATTTGGATCCTGGATATGACATTTTAGGTCTTTGTAATTAGCTCTCATCTTTATTGCCTTGAATAACTTCATGTTATCAGCTGAACTTGTATCACCTTTTCACTGCTCAACATATTTATATATCATCTGGCAAAAATACACGGCGTAGCACAGATCACTACAGAACATACTAGTCACAGTCTTCCACTATGAAAAGTGAACATTTATCTAACAAATTTATGCTCTCATGAGAGATCTTCTGTCTTAGCAGTTTATTTAAAAGCCTTTGATAAACAGACCTTTTAGGTTTAGAAACCTTTTGGAAATCCAAGTAAGTTATACCAGTAGAATGTTCACTGACCTTATGTATGACCTCTTCAGAAGATTCTAATAGATTTGAAGACCTTAAAGATGTGTCACTGTTCTGAGATAATGGCAAACCGTTGAAGCTTGCCTTCCCTTTGCTTTTCCAGTGGGTATGTGAGGCGGGCAGAGCTTGCTGGAATCCACCTGTGTATTTATGAAGGATGTTGTTGAGCAAGCTCACAATCTTAAGTTCATCAGTTGAGCTTTTGTTGAAAAGACAGACTGCTCCTTCAGTCTTGGAGTTGTTACGCCTCATTAGCTTTTATCACAGCTGCCTCTCTTTCCTCCAGATTCTGCAGATCAAGTTTGAAAGTGCACAGAGGTTACTGGACAGGCTAGCAGCTCTTTTTGCATTTGTATCTCTGTCTTTTTTACATTCAAGGTAGAGATGTCAATAAAGCATATCACTTTACAGTCTTGGTCCTTCTGTACATCAGGGTTTTGGAGGTCCACTTTGCACAAGTCTGCCCAGCTGTGCAACTTCCTGAGACATCATTGCAGAGGGACAGTAGAATCTCACCCCAGACCATAGAGCATTATTCAGTCAGATGAGCTGCTGTGGTGATCCTGCCAAACTCAAGCTGTTCCTCTCCTCTCTCAATGTTCAGTACTGCCCTTTTGCCAGATGTTGTTAACCTTGGTTGTCTGGTAGTTTCTATAGCAGCAGTGACATTGTAAAGATCCAGTTTCATCCGTAGTCAGTGAGGCAATGGAAAAGCTTTAACACTGGTACACTTTAATTTTCTTACCTTGTGATAAATATGTCCTTAGGGTTTCAGTCAGCTGGGTTTAGAGAAAGTCTTTGTTTACCATATAAGCAAACCTGAGCAAGTAGGCAATGCCAGTTAATAACAAAAAAATGCATTTGGTTATATACATAGATGTGTATATTACACTTAGCAAAGAGGTTTGTGAAGGTATAGTGTGGTGATCTCACAGTATTGTCTTCCATGTAGAAATATCAGAGAAACTCAGAAGTTCATCAGTGATTAGCAGTGTCTCAATGGCACGCCTAACATGAACTGTTAGTGAACTGACACTTCTCTCCTACTTACTATTCTTCCCTTCTGCTTTTGTACTTTTACTTTTCATATGCGTCCCCCTCGTGTATGACCTGAACATCTCAGATTAGTTATCTTATTTGTTAAGGTGTGCTGAAGGTTGATTTGTACTCACAGAGATAGGATTGCAGTAAATGCCTCATGCATGCCAATAAGGAAACAAATACTGTTGTCTTCAGAACAGGATTTGGATGCATCCTGTGGTAACACGGAAAGGTGAGAAATAAAATGTCAACTAGCTGTTCGTTACACAAGTACTAACTGTTGAATGAGGAGGGGATTATGTAATCAAAACAGTGGATGGTCATAATAATTAGTCGTCTTTTTCATGTAAAGTGTGATGTAAACCAGTACTACAAGGGTAGTCGTTATTCTTGAAAATAAAACTCTAGCTCAGCACATAGGATTGGAAAGCTGGGATCATTCTGCACAGAATCTTGCTGTGGTATAACAGACATTAGTGAAAATAATCACTGACTGATTTACATTTCAGAAGGCAAATCTTTTGTTTCATGTGACATTGGAGGTGTCATGATGAAAAGGTACATTAATATTGCTGTAGAAATAAAGGGCTCAGGTTTATTAAGACATGGATAACATACAGCAGATTCTGGTTCCATTGACTACCCAAGGCTTTAGTTTGTGTTAGTCTCTGCAAACATACTTACAGACCACTGCACTTCTGCAGCGTCTGTATAAAAATAAAATTGCATTTGCTTGAGATGCTTTGTGTCATTCACTTTGAAGACACAATAAAAGAGAAAAAATGCAAGTTTTAATTCAAATTAATGTAATGAACAATTTCCATTTCTTTTAAAAGTTCAATAAGATAAAAAGACTTTCCTGTATTTTCTTTATCACTGAAGTAATTCAAGATCACTATTCTTCTCTAAATTTTGTGGCTTAAAAGATACTTTTATATGCAGATTTTTAATTTCTCCTGTATTTTGATCACATGGGATGAGAAGCATTACATAACATTATTTTTTTGCTTTTTTGCCTGGATTTTTGTCACAGATGTTTATATGCGTTGGTTTTTTTCACATTTTGCTCATTTCCCAGGTTCAGAACTTGACATTGCGCAGTCAGAAGTTGGGTGTATTGTCAAGTTCACAGAATGGCCCACCAAAGAGCAGCAGTCAAACTCAGTCATTGTCTCTGTGCGCTAATAAACCTGTAACCAGTTCCAAGGGCAGCCAACCAGATCCCTCAGAAAGCAATAGAAAAGGCGAGAGCCCAACTGCAGAGTGTCGGAGTACACCAGTCACGCGGACATCAAGCATACATCACTTAATAACACCAGGTAGGATGAAAATGGAGCTATAAGAAAGTTATTTTAATTAAAGTTAATTTGTATGTTATGGTTCTGACAGAGTCCAATGCTCTCTGACCGTGTTCTTTTAGATATTCCACATGAAGACAGTTTGATGTTTAATAGTAAATTTACTTATTTGTTGATATTGGATGTTACACAGGATTTTGATTTAGCAGAGTGATACAACAATGTTCTTAAATCACAATACTAGCACAATATAGCAATTGCAATACATAGTTGAATCACAGTACAAACATGATTCTCATTACTGGTCTCATTGTCAGGACATGTCATCCCCAGTCTCTGGGAAGCAATATGTAGGCTGAAACCACCTCAAGCCTTTTGCTCTCATCAAAATCTATTTTGTTGGTGGTTCTTTTTTTTTTTTTTTTTTTTTTTTGTCTTGTCTGTGTCATCAGAATGTTCTTACATCAAGTGCTTTTATAAATCCATAGGTAATAGTGCCCCAGAATCATAGTATTTTGTATTAAGAGATAAATCAAAATAAGCATGCAGTTGGTTGGATAGCATTTACATTGCATGCAATGTGTTTGCATTTTAACTTCCTTATTTTGAAAGAGTAAGGGTAGTCTAGACAATTGGTCTGAATTCTGTGGAATTTAGTTTGGCTTAATGGCAGCTTTTAGAAAAGGAGTAAGACTGCGAGGCAGACATTCTTGAGGTATTGAGCCCTAATGGTCTTAGAACTCACTTCTGTAAGGAAAAACTCCATCTTAGCTAGCAGAATAAATAAAAAAGACAACGTAAATGAGTTTTCTCAAGTGGAAAAGACAAAGCAAGAAGAGGTTTGCAGATGTGTGCATGTGCTGTAAGGAATTACTAGTGAATCACTAGTTCACTTAAAGGTGATGTGATATCTCTGGAAGCTGCACTATGTTTAGATTCATACCTTTCAGTTTGTGTGTTCAAATTCAGGCAAATACTTTGAAAGGTTTTAATTCATACTGAACCCTTGGAATTTTGTTTAGTCTCTTAAAATCATATTACCTAAACTTTAACTTAGTTATCAACAAATCCTGTTGATTGTGGCATGCTTATCTATTCCATTCCAGTCTGTTTCAAAGCAAAGGTTAAATCCATTTAAAGTTGCATGAAATTCTTAAATAAGTGAAAGCTGGATCAACAATAATCTTAGAACTAGCACCATAAAGTTAAGTGTAGATACTTTTATATAGAAAGTACTTATGTGTGTATATATATGTAAAAAGCATGGCTATGTTTCTTTATTCATTGCTTCATTTTGCTTTGGAAATTGACATATTCCCCTAATAAATTGTTCTTGTGTACTATATGCTGTCAAAGATGATATTTCTAAATATTTCTAACCCTTCCGAAGGGTTGAAAAAGTTGTGCTGGTCTTACTTTAAAGTAAAAACGTCCTTTCTTTTAGTATTTTTATAATGTTCTCTGGACTTAAAGAAATAAATACTAATTGTCACCTTTTTTCCCCCCATCACAGCTTCATATTCTCCATTGCAACCTCATTCTCTAGTAAAACATCAGCAGATCCCACTTCATTCACCACCTCCAAAGATTTCCCATCATCAGCTGATATTGCAACAGCAGCAGCAAGTCCAGCCAATCGCATTTCAGACTCCTTCGGGTCAGGAACCCCCGCCGTCACAGCACTGTCTACCACTCCCAAGCCATGGTCTTCCTCCAGGTTCCAGCAGTGTCCAGTCTCATTGCTCACCGATTCACATCCATCCTTCACCTCTAACGCTGTCTCCTACTCCATCCCAGTCAGCTCAGCAGTCAGTGGTGGTATCCCCTCCACCTTCTCACTCCCCTAGTCAATCACCGACAATAATTATTCACCCTCAAGCACTTATTCAGTCACAGGCAAACTCCCTTGTGCCAACAGCTCTTCAGCCAGAGCAGACTGCTCCTCAGCAAACTGCTACCAATCCAGTTCGACCAATTGCACAGCCACTTAATCTTCCATCACATCTTCCACTTCCATCTTCCCCTGCTGTACATATAGGGTCAGTAGATCAGCCCAGCCTAGTTTCCCCAGGCCAACAGATCGTGTCCTCGACACCACACCAGCAATATTCAGCCTTGCAGTCCACACCTATCCCTCTTGCAGCTCCTCCTCAGCTGTCAACATCTTCAACCCAGATTCAACAACTGCCATTGCAGTCTGTGCAGTCTTTACAAGTGCAGCCTGAAATTCTGTCCCAGGGCCAGGTTTTGGTTCAAAACACTTTGGTTTCTGAGGAAGAACTTCCTGCTGCAGAAGCTTTGGTCCAGCTGCCATTTCAAACTCTTCCACCACCACAGACTGTTGCAGTGAATCTTCAGGTGCAGCCATCGGTACCAATTGAAACTCCAGTGGTAAGTGGTAATATTGCAGTCCTTTATTCTTTATCCTCGGCTTCTCTAAAGAGCTGTAAATCTGGCCCATTGACTTCAGAGGGAGCCAAACCAGGTGCTAGACAGAGGACCAGAAGAAACCTATTGATTACAGAAACGAGTTTTAAGAAAACAATAGACACTTTCTTTCCTCTGATTTTTTTTTGGCTTTTTGTAATGGATCATCAGTCAAGAATATCAATGAAGAATCATGAAAGTGCAACTTTTTGACCTAAAATCTTACCTCTTAATGAAATTGCAGCAGTTAAAAAAGCAAGTAAATATATGTCAAGGATTACGTCAAAATGAATTTTGATAAATGTACCATAAGGACTGTAAGCTTTTACCTCTTTATGTTAATACAAACATATAGGAAATCAAAATTTTGAGTAGGAGAATCATCTCTATACTAGGTGCGAAGGCGTATAGCAAATTTATAGCAAATTATTAAGATAATAGAGTTCTGGATAATTAATTTTGTACTAATGTTGAAAAGGTCCTCTTCATAAAAGAATAGGGGAATTTTTGATGCTGTCTCAGTGTTCCCCATCACTGCCATTTAATTTAGTTCAATGTTAGTCTCAGACGTCTGCAGTTTGTAACTGAAGGTTTCAGCTTCACTCACACTGAACTAAAATCATGTCCAGTGAAAGTAAAATGATACGCAAATAATGCTGACATCTAAGATGGCATTGCTAGGCTTTAGTGGCAACATGCTAATGAGATTAACGTGAGCAAAAGAATCAACAGCTCCTGTAGGCTTTTTTCAGGCTACCAACGGGTTAAGGAAGAAGGTGTGCTGTTTTTTTTAATTTACATTAAAAGGGTAACGATAATCTCAACTCTCTGATATTTCATGTAGAGATTGAGCAAAAGAGTAGAAGCCAGGTTTGCTTTTGACAAAGTGGTGTTTTACATCCTAATCTGCTAAACTGGCTGTCAGTAATTCACATGAATTTACTTTAATAGTTTTGAGGAAAATACCTTATAATCTCTTATAACCACTAATGCTTCATAGTCTTGGTGTACTTTTCTGCAATACTCAGTTTGATTACACTGCTGTATAAGATAGAGAACAATTTGCAGGCTTGTCATTATGTTATAAAGCTTGCATTTTACAGAACTGTTTAAACAGCTACAAATGTTTGTGTAAATAAAAATACAGTAAACTGTAAAGACAAGACATTGAAAAAGTCAAGTTCTCTGGTCTGATAGGAGAACTGTGCCTCTTTATATTTTGCTATTTGTAACAAAATACTTTAATTTTGCTCTCATAGACATTGTGACGTCCCCAGAGTTCATTGTTTTGTATGCAGTTTGGAAACTAGTATATTATTAGGAGATTAGCATATTTTAACATTTTAACTGGTAATTTATTTTAAAAATTGTATTTATGCAACTCTTTTAAGGTATTAAGGTAGAATGGAAATCTCTCTAAAGCAATAGTTTGTTGGATGCAGATTTACCAAGTGGAGAATGTGTGTGAAGAAGAGATGCCCGAGGAATCAGATTGTGTCCATATGGCTAGAACACCTACGCCACCCACTTTGTCTCCACCAGCCATAACCTTGGGGAATGGAGAGGCTCTTAATTCAGAAGATCCGTTGTCAGGTGAGAACAAATGTCAAACTAAGGTAGCTGTTCCGCTTAGAAACTTCTACTAGTTATTGATGTTTTAAAATAAAAATCTATGATTTTTATCTTTTTTATAATTCAGTGGTATCTTTTTTTTAAATAAAAGAAACTATATGAAATATATTAGAAATGTGATAGAGTGAATGATTCAGTCCCAAAGGTGTAGCTTATATATGTATTTGGATAACGTGTAATACGGAAACACTTACTTGAGCTCTTTTATACTAAAATATTAACAGGAGTGTCCATCTCCAGTTAATCTGTAAGTGATAGCTGTGTGATATGGGCAAAATATGCTGACTGATCTGGTGTGAAGATTGATTTTGCAGAATCAGGGTCAGCAATTAGAAGTTGCTGGCGGAATGGTTGATTATACTGTATGAGTACGAGGGGATC